TAAAATATAAACTGTAAATATTATAAAATACTGTAAAAAATAAATTAGTGCCAACATTTTATTTTTTAAGAGGAGCCTAAAGAAATCTTGCCCTTAAATAATATTATATCGCATAAATTGCATCAAACGGATAATTGAAATGCGAATGTTTCATAATTAAACACATTTATTGAATCTTTTTTTATTACGAGTAATACATCGCCGCGTCGACCAGCGCGAGACGAATATACAATATATTTTGGTTACGTATTTAAACGTATATAGACATATACGCACGCATACACGCACACAGACGCGCATTTACATCTTACATCTATTATGACGCGCGCAAAAATTTCGCACAACTCATGAGAGAACGATCGAAAATACTGTTCACTAATGAATAATTTGCGCAAGATATGTGGTCGATATGTGACTAAACTATCTCATGTGTATATCTTAACATTGTAATAATAATGTTTTTAACAAATTCGGAATTTTTTCATTGCAATTAATAATTTTTCTCTTAATTTGCATACTCATCGTACGAAATTATAAAAGTGATTACATTTGATATAATTAATGATTGCACGATGTTAATTGATATATTATAAAATTACGCTTATAATTAGTATAATATGATACTGTATCAAATGAGCGATTTATCTCTTTAAATTTTTGAAAAATGTTAAAAATGCATTTTTATTACATATTTTTTTCTTTTTATATAAATATGTTTGGATATAGAGAAAATTTTGTTATAATGAACAGCCATAATAGAATGATAATAGAATGCTTTTATACAATCATATTAATGATATAGAATACTTTCCTCATAAAAAAAATTAATATTTTAAAAAGTAATGGCCTTTCTAAAAATATTGGCATATTTATAAAATTTTTAATAAAATTCAATTGTAAAATATATATAATGTCATGTTAATAATTTTATATATCACTTTTATATATTTTATTTATCACTAATCAACAATCAGTTAATTAATTTTTACGGCATCAATTTCTTGTCATCAATACATAAGAAATTAAAAGTCTGCAACTTTTGCTAATTCACAACAATTTACGGCTTTGTAGTTAATTGTTCAAAGCATTTAATGAGTACGATCATTAGATATTGAAGTGGAAGACAGCCATCGATTTCTATATAAACATTGGATAATATAATTAGCGTTATATAATTAGTTTAAAAAGGACTAATGAACACTATTAATAGTTTGCCATTCGCTAATTCATTAAAGCCAGGAAATTTTCCATATATATAATGAAATTTTAGCTCGAAATTTATTTTATAATCCATATTCTGATATAATATAATATCTATTGATATTTTTAAATTAAAGACTTAATTAAATATGTTTAATTAAATTCTTCACTTTTTAAATTAGCAGGATTTGATATATTTCGAGTTTTTTAAATTAAGAAAATCTTTAGAAGTAAAGAGAGAAATAAGATTTGTGTCTTGCTCCTTGGTTCCCTTTCAGACGCACAAATTCCATATTATCCAATCGTGTTATTATAAGCGTGTTTGTAAAAAAAATGAGATCTTTGATCTTGAACATCATACTGATAGGAATTTAAACAGACTCCGACCTTTCTCTCAGAAGTTTGCAATACGTCAATCGTAAACGATAGATAGGTATCTAATCGTAAGATAGGTGTGTAAATAACATTCCACAGACCAAAACCATGGGTCCGTCTAGAAAAATATAGATATAGAGCACATACTATACAGAGTGGTCCAATAGACTTTCGATAACAGCGGGTACGGTCAGCTGCAAGATCCTAATCTCATTTATCATAAAATTTTACAAGAGCATACGAAAGCTCTCGTTATTTCTTATCATTAAATCTTTCTTATAAAATAATAGAGTTATGAGAAACTGTTAGAATTAACAACAATGTCTTTCATACTTGTCTTAATCAATACATACGTATCTAGTTTAATTCAAAATTTTAATATCATTAATCAACAGATTAGTTCAATAAATAAAATAATAACTATTACCTTAAATTTGAGATATTATTTTATTTCACACACATGCGCGTATTTGTGCGAAATTATACGAATAATTTTTAACAAATAATAATATTTCTTAATCTCTTTTCTCTAGCAATTTCCAATTTGCTAGAGGGAAAATATTTGATTTTTACAATTTCTTCAGCTGCCTCATTTAACTTTAACGATCTATCGATCTAATTGCTATCTTTTTATAACTTGAAGAAGTCAGTACCCAGACTAAAGAAATTTTGTGAACGTCATTACCCGTAGCTGCTTTACTCTAATTTAAACTTCGTGATGCTTTCGCGACAAGATTAAAACTTTTTGTGATTTGCTCGACCAATTTTTATCTGATTAGTTTTTTAATAAAAAAAAATTTCTAATATAAATTCTCGCGAAAGAATTTTTCGACAAACATCGTGTAAAATACGTAGAAATGTGAAAAATATAAATTACAATTATGAAAAATTCGCATTAAAAATATATAAATTTTTGTATTACACAATTAACTATTATCATAAAATATCGTAATAACTGTTAATTTATATATTTCATATACAAAATGAAAAATAAATCGAAACTATAACATTTTCTTTATTTTTGAAAAAATTAAGATTAGAAAAGCTGAGAGACTGTTTCTTTGCTTGAGATTAATTGAAATTTAAGAAATATATATTTTTTTATCAGCTTTTGTGGTATATTTGTTAGATGCGATTCTTATCTAAGATATGTCATTTAATTTAGTTGTGTGTGTCTATCATCTCGGAGGTCTAGAGAAGAATCGATCGCGCGGTGAATCCCACGAAGCGCGAACGAACGCTTACATGTTCGACTAATTTGATTGACTGCACACTAATATCGAGCATACACAGAGCCGATAGGGAGACAAGTCGAACAGCAACAAATATTTACTTAGCTTTCTCAAAGGATTTAAAAAAAGTAAGGAGTAATAGAAAAAGAAAGCGAACGCTTCCGAGATTTCAACATCTTAAAAGAGACGTCACACCTCCATTACAACTCTTAAGTCTTTTCTTTGTTATTCTTTTTATTTCTCTTGTTCTTCTTGTTATTTTTCGAATACTTTTATTTATCTACCTTCTACTTTACATTTTCCTAATTTTTAATTCTAGAAATGCTTCTTTCGGAAACACTCGATTAATAAAGCATTTCGATAGTTGATGAGGTAAGCGAATAACAACTTGATAGGATTTTCTTATTGGCTTTGAGTATTTTTGATAAATTATATTTTAGTGCAAAAACTGCGACGGATCTTTAATTTATTATTCTTAATACAAATTCAATAACATTTAGAATCAAACAGGGAAATTGAGACCCTTGGAAGATAACCGATTCTTCAATTATTTAATTTTATCACACATTTAATTTTTCATTGCATTTTTGCTCTTATGCGAGACCTATAAAAATATTATATAATCACTGTTCCATGTACATTGTATACATGTTCTTTCTGTCGACAGAGATTCATCCTATCATAAAAAAAGAATTGATCTGATGGTCTAAAATTAAAATACGAAAATGTCATTAGATGTTCATTGTTGATAGTATTGATTTTGCCTGTCTCCATTGGTATTTACTGGCCGTTTGCTAGCCATGTACTGCGCCTGTGTAAGCGCAAGATGAATTCTCGATTTACCCAATGACCTCAATTACTATCCCGCTGTCTTACTTTGCATAGATAAGACGTAATTTTGTTTGGTTCCTTCATTGAAAATCGGAAACAAAACGGGAAAACGAAATGGACCTGTCGTGATATGTTTTGGACCTTTTGAGGGATAAGAAAGATCATACTCCCTTTTTGCAAGAGAGAAAAGAGAGACCGACACTAATCCAGGCAAAACATACAATACATTTAATGTCATTAATATTTTCCAATTTCCTTTAGCCATAACCGAATCAAATGCATTTAAAATTATTCGTGAAAAATTGTATTGTTATTTATTCATATATATATATATTTTTTTTAATTTATATACATATGAAATAATCCCTATTATTTATCGTTACCTTATGTATTTTTATTTTTTTACATATGCTAAACATTTAAAAACTCAAATACAATTCTGTCGCACAAATGTTTCGATACCATGCGTTCGATTCGGAAATGTCAAAATCAGAAGGCATTAATGACACCGCCTTAATGTATTTAAGGGAAGGACAAGCTGTCCTGGACAACGCTTACCGTTTATTGTAAGATTATACACATCGACACATTCAGGATTAATTAACGCTAAATTGTTATTAATTACTGATTATAAATAGGCATTTTCAATTATATGTCAAACGCAATCAATTCACCGACGACAAATTTTCTCGACTGCTGCATCGATTGAAAAGACCCAAATATACAAAATGCAATGTAATTTTTTCGTGATAATTCATCGAAAGTCTTATCGGTTTTTCTAACTAATAAAACTCGATATAAATTCGGCAAATTTAAATCTCAATGCTACAAACATTACGCGCATGAAAATAACTATTCATCTACTATTTTTATTCATCTCTATTTATTTATTTCAAACAATGTAAGATACATTCTTTTAGACTCTTATAGCATCCAAAAATCATTTATCGAAATTGTATCGATTTAAATCTATAATTTCAAAATTTTAGGAAAAGTAAAATATGGCCTATGCTAATCGTAATTTAACAAAATAAAATAGAGAAGTGCTGTCGCGATTGTCGTCGGGAAAGAACGATGTATTTTGCGTTTGACATCGGACACAGGTACAAGTGCGCCATCGTCGATTTGTTCCATTGTAGAAAGAAATACTTAAGCACTTCAATGTTTCATGACGGGTATTAAATTTATAAATGTCGTAGAGCGATGGGGTAATCAAATTCAATTTTCAGAAGAATGTTGAAAATTGAGGACAACTTGACATGAATCCATAACACTTATTAAACAAAATATATATACTAATATATAGTTATTACATTTCATTTAAATGTAATATAAAGTATTAATTTTTAGTATTATTTTTCTTTATATTTTAGATTTTAAAGACAGAGTTTTAGGAATATACATTTACGTATTTTTATTAAAACATCATATTTAGTAAATTCAGCGTTTCAACGTTCTTCCGAAATCTTGATTCAATTATTTTTCAATTCCATCACGTATCGATGTAGATATGTACGTATAAATTTAATTTTTTTTAGAAAACATACGTATCTATCGTTGCAAATTGCTCGTGTTCTGTATGAAATTACGGTCAATTCCATGATTTTTCAAATAAAAGTATTTATACTTGATTAATGCTCAAAATACAGATTTTATCTAATAACGAAAATACTATCCTTGTCTATAATATACACGCAAACTCGACAGTTCCATTGAACAGACACTTGAGTATTTCATTCTAAAGTGTTTATATGGTTGAAACGACCAGTTAATCTCTAGTGGAAAATTCACTCGCGGAATCACAGATAACTATACAGCCCCCGTCGATACTACATCGTTTAACTTTTGTCGCTAAACATCTTGTAAGATCAAGAAACATATATGGAATGCGCGATCGAGAGACTCGATTTTTCGGATATAATATGCACAACTGGTCCAGTTGGACGTTATTCAAGAGAAATTTTAGAAGGAGAGCTTAAATAATATTAAACGTCCTTTAGCGTTCCTCGACCCTTTCCTCTCCCATCGTGCTTAGTATAGTATAACAAAATATAAATCTGAAGGCGACACATACGTATACGCGCGATTACGCGAGCACGTACTGGTGTACAGAGTCGTTTGTTGGATCAAATTGGCATGCATCCTGAACAACGAAGAAACAAGTTGCCCGAAATACATATCCAAGATTGAAAATAGAAAACACAGACGCTGTTTATTTGTACAGAATTTGATTAGATAATTGTGTACGCGAGCATTTTGATTATTTTCCAAAGAAAATCCAACGATAACGTTACGTTTTTAATTGAAATGTCTGTCAAATAAACAAGATTAAAAAAATACTAATAATCACTCGATAAGCGAAGGATGAAATATTCATCCCGCATATTTCTTTCGTACAATTATCTTGCGTATGTATTGATACATGTATGCTAACGTAATCTAACCAACGCCCTATACACTTGCATACAGGTAGATATATTTATCTAGTGCACAACATTTTCTTGTTTTTATAAGGACATCCGGTAATAAAGTCGGTACCGATGAGAATCAAGTTCGGGATCTCTTTTAAATCTCATAATTGCGAAACTTACTGACGACCTCGTTGGGCTCCTGATAGTCGAATGGAACTCCATGACCCGAACGATAATAGAGATTCGTGGCTCCACCCTCGGAAGCCCTTCTATGAACATTTGTGGGATGACCTCTGAGGTGAGCCGGTGAACCACCTGTCTCTCCAGTCGTATCCGGTAGCATTCTGTCCTTTGTCTTTGGTGTGCTCCAATGCATAGTCTGTGAACAAAGAAAAATTCGCAAGATTAATAATGAGACATAATATAGAAATAGGACATAATGTGAAATTAATGTTTGTGGTCTTTTATTATAATTATAGGATGTTTTTCATTGACATAAATCTATGCAAAATTAATTATAAATCCAAAGGGTTAATACGCTGTATTAAAAAAAGCATCTTAAATGTTGACTTTAAATTCTTAGTTTGATTTTAAACTTTTTTCTGAAGTCTCTTAAATAAGTCATAAATAATTTTCATTAATAAATAATCAAATTTAATTAAATATCTTGTACTTTCAGCGAAAGGAAATTTTATAATAATTATTTAAGTTTATAAATTTACAAATATCTCATTCAGATGCTCTCGATCGTGTGCAACTACCTACATGCAAAAAAATTTGATTTATTCTAATAAACTACGTAACATTGTTTAATGTAATGAACTAAAGTATATTGTCCAAAATGTACAATAATTGCAAAATTATTACATCTCACCTGCTGCACATGTTCCTTCATGCCGACCCATTGCTTGTAACTAATCTTGATACCACTGTTCCGCCATTTATCATAATTGCTCCTTTTCTCAGGATCACATAAAATCTCTTTCGCATACTAGAATATAAACATCATATATCAGGGCATCTATTTAATACTTAAACACGAATAATTTATTTCAATTACAAATCAATAAAATTGATCGACTTTTTTCTATTTGTAAAAGACGCACCTTTAATTGTTGAAATTTTTTTTCGGCCTCTTTGTCACCGTCGTTCTTATCCGGATGATATTGAAGAGCTAATACCTTATACTCCGCCGTAATCTGCTCGATCTAATTTTTAAAATTGAACAGAAATTGTCTACGACATGATTCAATAGGATGCGAACAGGAATTAATCTAATTGTACACTGCAATAATATTATTTGATTGCTTTCAATTTAAAAAATATGTGTTATAAATATAAAATATTAAATTAGAAAAATATAAAATATTTATTTAATTAAAACAGAACATCGATCACAATTTAATTCTTGAAATGAGATAATCTTTTAGAATAACGTATTCTAAATAGATGTGAAACTTTCTTACAGACATAAAGAAAAAAAGGAAAGCAAAGACCATAATACATTTAGTAATTTTTAATTTAATTATTTTTCTTTTTCTGTAATATTTCTATAATATTTTACTTGTGACGTGTATTATATTTAAATATCTCGGCTATCCGCCGCAAGATTACGTTCGTAGTATCATTCGCCGACGGAAACGAGATGTCATGAACACGCTGACATAATTTATCGACTGAGATCGAAATTTTTATCAAAAAGTTAGCGGAGATAACTTTAATAAAATATAAATTAGAGAATTGAGAGATAAACGACCTTTTCGACCATTGTGCTCCGTTAAAATTGTTAAAGTTTATTAGTACATTATGTACTAATAAAAAATAATGAGAGCAATTAAATATTTTTTTTAATTCAATTCAGTGTAATTATATTTTAATATGCATGAATTATATTGATAATGTAACAAAAACAAAAATTTTCTTATATGTCTCGTTGACATCTTATTATATTGCATAAGAAGTCTCAATGAATCAGTACAATTTCACGCACGATGGAAAATGTTTCAACAGAAATATTGTTGCTTAATTCACGAATTCAGCGTATCGTAAACTAGGAACAGATGAGACTACACCTAATTGTGTTGATCGAGTATTCAATTAATTAAGAGTTTAAATTGCACTTTCCCCCTAGGATCTAATTATTATGGAAGCAACTCGACGTTTAATTAAATTATGTCAATGCAGAAAATTAGTTTTGTACATGTATATTAATAAAGGTTACGATTAAAACATATTGAAAACATATCGAAACAATTACATTTTTCACATAGATTATGATCGTTTATGAATTTTATATGTTTTGACTATATTAACTTGATTAATTAATAATGCTATAGTATAACAAACAATGAAATATTATAGTGAAAATTGAAATTTAAATTAATAATGACAAAATTAATTTGCCTAATTGTACAATAATGATAAGAAAATATTTTTGAAATTATAATTTATAAATTTATTAATGAATAGAATATTTATTAATCCAAAATTAATCCAAATTGAGTTGTTTTAGACAAAAGATTATCAAGTAATATTTCTTTAAATATAAAACATTTTGTTATTTTATTGTATCTGTTATTATTATATGTATATAATCTATTACATTTATCCAATATTGACTTTGATAAATAAAGTATTTAACTTTGTATTCAACTTTCACTTTGTAATTATAATTTTCGTGATACATTCATTTTCTAAATATTTTACAAATATTTGAAACACAAAAATTTCATAGTCGAGCATCTATGTGATATACTATATTCTTCTAAAATAATAATATAATTCATGATAAAGATAAATATCACTTAAGATAAATATTTTTCAAGATAAATATCACTTAAGATAAATATTTTTCTTGCTTCTATTTTTATTCTATATTAATTATCTACATTAATCTTTATGACTTATCAAAAGAAAGACATTATAAAAAAACATAGAAACAAAAATATTTAATTATCTAAAAAAGAAATCCATTAGAGATGCAATACAAATAGTTTAAGAACGAATATTTTTCGCAAGATAAGTCAGAGGAAAAAAACAAAGATTCTATAATTCTAAATTTATTTCAACATAAAGATCCTTTGAAAAATAAAAAAATATATTTCCAACTTTCACAAAATTTAATTTCACATTCTTACTCGATCTTGAAAATGATTGTCTCTGATCTCGCTTCTTTTAATATAATAAGTGCATCAAATGTGAGCGCAAAAAGACTCAAATATTATATTACATTCAATAATTAATCTACAATGGGAATTCAGATTTCAACTCGCGAAACGCGATAAATACACCGCTGCGTTTCATGTCTTACCGTGGAAGACTCGTCGCAGGATAACAGCGCGTAATAGTCCTCCTCCTCGCTGGGCGAGTAATTGATGGCGTCCTCGACACTCATTTCGCGACTCTCCTCTTTCGCAACCCTTAGCACGCTCCCTTCCGAATGTATTGCCCGCGAAAATCGTAGCCGCTGTTCTCGACTAGCAAACTTCTGTCGCTCCTAACCGAGTCGATCGAGATCCGTCACCTGTTGCGAGCAAGCGAATCTGTGAGTGACAACGTCGCTGCCTACGACAGGCACCAAAGTGAGCCGAGTAAAGGGAAAACCGTGTCGCAGACCCGGAAAGACCCGATTCCCGGGGAATCCCGCGCGACTGCGTACTCGCAATCCTGAGCCCGCACCCCCTTTCGCAAAACGCGCAGTTCTCCATCGTTGCGCAGTTGCGACTTGCGGCTTATACCCTCTTGCGCCCCTTGTGTGCTTCATCGAGTACGTGTAAAGGGGTTTTATATATATATATATATATATATATATATATATATATATATATATGCACACATATTTCTAGAATCTTTATATAATTTACAGTTTTTTTCAAATTCATTTCGATTCCTTAGACCGAAAATTTTGTTTGAAATTGAATTTGAAACGAGAACTCTCTCTCCTAGTCGTTTCTATAGTAATTAAGAGATTTTATAAGAGAGAGAAAGAGAGAGAAGAAATAAAATTTTTTTTTAATATACATTTGAATACATTATACGTACAATCATATGTTGTTTACGTCTCATTTTTTTAAAACTTGAAGAAATGACTTGATAATGCACATTTTTCATTCTTCAAGTGCATAATTAATAATGAGTTAAAAGTTCATCGATTATCGCAAATATAGATTACTATTGTATTGCCAAAGTGATAGTGATATCAGTAGAATGATATCAGTAAAGGAAATTTGGAAAGAATTTAGTTTGTCTAGAATATAATAAAATTAATGTATAATATAAGAAAAAAATTAATAAGAATAATTTATCTTATTTATTTTATATTAGATAAAGCTATTCAAAACTATATAAAAAATTAGATTCGTCTATGCACAATTATTTAAAACTAATAAATATTAGGCAAAATTTAGCACAAACTCACGATTATTTCGTCAACGAATGATCTCAGTAATACAACGATGCAGAGTCGTTCTCTTATATAACGTGGAACGTGCGTCGTTATCATTGTAAGACTTTTAACGCTTTAAAATTGTTTTCAAGATCACAACGGGTTGTGAAATCACTTTTTTCTCTCGAAAAGTCGCATATGGGAAAAGCACTTACAAGAACAAAGATTTAATCCCGCGTATGTATCTGACAGTTCTCTCGCAAAGTTACACAGCGTTTCTTTTTAGAACACGCAGTCGTACGTATCGTAAAGAGCACTAAGTGATATTGAGCTCAACGCATCTACGTCTCGCTAACGCGAGATTCCAGAGTCTCGCGGCTTTCACTCACGATTAAAGAACCTTGGATCTCTTTTATCTCGAACCTTACCGACCGAGCAAGAGTTCTTCGTTTATTGGTATTTTTCAAAAATTTTATTAATCATAGATGAGTTAGTGATGAGACATTTCATTTCCTTGTTAAAAAATAAAAAGAAAAGAGAGAGAGAAAAATCGAGTTGAAATTTTAATTTTTTTAATACTATTTTTTTAATATTTATTCATCTCTCTCTTTCTCCCGCATTTTTGTCATTTGATTTTTGTCGTTACTTAAAAAATGCCAAAATAATAAAGATTATTTGTCATGCGAGGTAAAACGAGACAGAGACTTGATTAGAAATTCAAATCTTTTAAAGAATTACGAGAAAAGACAAACAAGAGAGAACGTGAATGAATGTATGAATCAATTATGTATTCTTCTTGCTTCTATGAGGGGACGGCAGATACTGATCACCGGCACTTTCGTTTACAACTGTTGATGCCACTGTTTTAACTCTCTTGCACACCATATTGTCTACAGGCGATGACACAAATAACAGAGTTGAGCAATTTTACGGATCACAAATAAGGAATAAAAAATAATAAATATTACATTAAAAAACATATGTGCATCATATTTAAGTCATAATACAATATATTGTGATTTTATTTCATATAAATTATAAAAATCAATATAAAATATTTTTATAATGTTAGTAAATAATTATAAATACTTTTTTAAATGTTAATAAATAATTTTATAACGTTAGCTCTTCAATATGTTATTTAAATATATATTTTTATCATATATAAATTGACATTTTTTATAAAATTTACATATTTACATATTTGTATAAATTTATAATAAACAGTTTTAATTAATATGATACGTATTTTTATCAAAAATTTATATAAAGAGATATATACGCTATGTGTGAATACTTTGATTTAAATTCTCAGAAACAACTGTGTCCTAAAAATTCAATGCACTGCTAGCAGGTTATATAAAGAAAAAAAATATCAACTTCGGTAGGTTTTAACAATCTGTCGAAAAGACATATAGTCGTTTTAAAATGTCAGACACATGTCAGACATCTACCGTACCTACACTAGGAAGCCTGTTTCTCTATATGACTTGTAAATATTCCTCTAAATAAAACCATTCAATTCGAGAAAATATTTTTAACATTTTCTATTATTTACAATTTTTCAATTTCCGCAATAAATAGGATAAAAAAATTCAAAATAAAATTGCGGAAAATGTTGTTAATTAAAGATAGTATGTCATTGATTAAAAAAGAAAATATTTTATTTATTTCGTTACAAGATTCCTCGATAATACCCTTGATAGATTGACATTGCATTAGGATTAAAATCTTGCTAACGATTTGTTCTCATTAATTTGAATAAATCCGCGCATCCACTTTATAGTACACGTTTTATTTCTTTCGTTGCGATCAAAATAAAGAAGCAATCACTGACTGTCATGGTACGCTAATCACTCGAAAAATTTTACGAGACACGTGTCGAAAGGGTCGAACCCTTTCACCGCTCGAAAAGATACGTGTGCTCACCGGCAGGAAACACATGCTCCGCTCCGTTTCCGCACGCATATGCGTGACAGACACGCAGCATGCACGCGTGGCATTACTTGAACAGAGATTACTAAATATTCACTATATATATATATATATATATATATATTTTGGATCTACAAGAAATCATAAAAATATTTATATTTTTCGCTGGTAATTTTTTTAGAACAAATGTTATGAAATCTATCGAAAAATGCACATGAATCTTTTTCTCTACCATCTTAACCATCAATCATTCATTTTGCCAATTTTTCGCAAGTTAATTTTTAAATAAAATTTTCTTAATTTTCCACGTATCCTATATGACACGTAAATTATGTATGTCGAATGAGACAAATCTTCATATTCAAACGCGAGAGAAAAAATCTAGGGTCAAGAGAAACGCACATGAGCCCACTTTTCTTTATCGTAACGAGTCGTCCTTCGACGTCCCAACACTTAGCCGTCCTTGTCTATCCCGAAATAACATTTCGTTACGAAGCATACATGGGCGTTTCTTCGTGCGACTGCCAGATACGTGGGTGGTGGCAGTAGAGAAGAGAAGGAGAGCATAGAAGCGATCATATGGTAGCGCCGCCGATGAGGCTCCCTCCAGGTCTGGCTTGTCAGTGCTTCATGAAGTGTTGCGCCGTACTCGTGTATAATCCCTGACCGAGGATGACCCTGACGAAGTTCGCGCAATCTCAACATTGACTTAAACGTTGACTGAAAAGCTACGGGAAAACCTACGCAATTTCTTCCCTTAGTGAGCTTCTTTTCGCGAGATGGATACAACAGAAATGACTATAGAGTGTATGAAGCACGAAAAGGAAGAGAAAGCTGCAATTATAATATTTGTTTCCTGATCAAGTGCGATGACATTAAGGTTGGAATGATCAGGTGTGATTGATTGTCAATCACTGGTTACATGAATCGACAATTATGTTATGTCAAGCAAATGTGAATATATCTGATAAAATATTCACAATGTTATGATTGAAATGAATGGAAAAAATTTATTTAAATTATTTTCTTATATCAATCGTACGTCATTTTGCAAAAAAGGCATTTGAAGAAATTTTAAAGCAATCATCGATCATCTTGATGACTAAATCACATTATTGAATACAATACTGTTCATCATAATCAAATAAGACTAGTAATCTGTAATTTATTTACACTGAATTTGGATATAAATAATCATTGGAAATTGAAATCCTAAATATTTAAATATAAAAATATTTAAAGTGATTAAAGATTATAAAATGATATAGATGAGCTGTGTGAATTTTAAGATTACAGTTCACGTACAATTTAGAAGAAGAGAAAAAAGAAAAAGTAAAAATGACAATTGATAATTTTTTACAAATAATGAAAAAATATTTATCATTTATTTTATAGTGCCTATAATATTCATCATTTATTTTATAGTGTTGAAACAATGTGGCTTGTTGTTCAAACTTCTCTTCTTTCGAGTTCTTAATTTAGAAGATTTCAAGCAAATTGTAAAAAGAGCATAAAACCAGCTAATGCAAGCAATATTAACAACGAGATAGTGAAAGGTAAGTTTGCAGGTCATATAAAATAAACAATTAATTAAAAAATTTGCATTTGCATATTAGTACTTTCTGATATGTAAATTTATTGTTTATCATAGAAAAATGTTTATTTCACACCTCATTTCTCATATATATACCAAAATTTTTACTTTATGTTTCAACAATAAATACATTTAGAATACTAATGGAGAGAAAAAATAATTTGATCGAGTATCCTATTAACAATTAAATAGTCTGCATGTAATGTATTTTTAATAAGACAATCAAAGTCATCCGTCCACACAGTTTGTGCTAAAAAAAACTTATTATTTAACATCAACTACGAGAATGCATGTTAGAAACAATTATATTTTAGATTGATCTGTTTAATGTTAGAATGTCTTTCTGTTTAAACTTAGCTTTCTTTGTAAAATTTAAAAAAATGCATTTTTTATATTTAATATAAAATAAAATTAAGGAAAAAAAACAACTTTTAATTGCTGTGTATAAGAATTAAAAGTGCACAAAGCGTATCTACAAATAAAAAATACACGAGTTAGGTTTGATATATAAAAATCTCTTCCTTGGCTCTCTATATATTATTCTTTTCTAGACACAAAGTGTATAAATAAGTCACTATAAATATTCTCTATCGAATTAACTTATCTTGTCTTTGAAGAATCATCGAGATACTTGAAAATTTGGAAAATAACAATAAGAATGTACAAAACGCGTAAGTCAAAAGCGTAACAAAAAGGGAAGAAAAGAAAACACGTGAGGATCAGAGTCGTTCTTCCACAGGGAAAAACATCTCAATTATACTTGAACTAAAAGCGCGTCTTTATGCGGTCTCGAACAACGCGTTACATTCTGGATATAGCGTGTGCCGCACATGTGCGCGCTTACAGGGGCACGTGCACCACCGGATACAAGCTTCTTTTTATCGGACCGTACCTCGGTGCAGGTGCAGTTGCAGGGCGCGATGCGGCGCGGCGCGACGCAGTCCTCCGCGACGGTCACAGGAACAGGCCTCTATTAATAGCCACGAATGTGCGTGATTTGTTCGAGAAACCGCGTTCAGCTATGAACGCGATACGATACGAGCTTGTGCAAAATATGCTGTATTTTTAGCATTTTTAAGAACTATTTTGCAAATCGAACGAACATCGTTCGGCTTTAAATCTGCAGAATTTCACAGCCCCTGCGCAAAATACTTCGTAGGAAATTTTCAAAATGAAATATATAGTTGCCCGTAATAAATCTCTCATTTATAAGATATACTATACATCGTCAATCATTTAGCAAACGTTTTCATTTATAGCGAAATCGGTTGGATAAACTAGTGCGCATTGATGCATCATAATGGTTCTCACAAATTTATAATAACATAAGTAATTAAAACAGTGGGATAATTAATACTACGTGTTATTATTATTACTATTAAATACACAAACAACGATGTATGATAATAATTCGTAATATTAATTATCTTATATTGTTTCAGTTAGTTATGTTAAATTTATGTGCGATAACTTTATTCTGCATTGAATTTATTATTAGTATTATGTTTCTTTCAATTATTTTTACTAAAACAGTTTGAAAGACAAAATCAATATTTTGAATTGATAATTTTTGTAACTTTACATTTTTTATTAATTTATAGTATATTGTATTATTGTTCTCTTCCTAAGAATTTAAAAAATTGGTCGCATTTTTTAAAATTATAACAAATTAAAAATATATATTATATAAAATTATGTAAATTTATATAATTTTACATATTATATAAATAATATGTAAAATTATGTTGCATAAAATTATTATTTTTATTAGTCGTTCTATATTTGAGTGAAAGAGATGAAAACACTCAACTTTTCATGAGTACGATCACCCTTTTTCCCTCTCTATCCTATCCCTCTTTCTTTCTCTTTCTCCTTTTTATTTATCTCTACCTCTACCAGGCATGTTCTGCTTCTCCCTCAGTTGTACGAAAATAGTAACCGCCATCGTTGCAGCAACTATGAGAGCAGAAAATTGTCGCGGAGTCGCGTATTCACTGAACTAAATTCGAGGAAACACATATATTCCCGGTTAATTTCATCAATCACAGCCACGTGGGTTGAAGGAAAATAATTATCATATAAACCTAATGTACATATAACTTAAGAAAAATTATATTGCAGCTTTTTGTGTAAAAATGCTCTGTTTTATGATTAGTAATAATCTGTTAATAATAGAAAAATAACACAAATTAAATTTCAAATTAATTAATTAAATTTTTCAAAATTAAAGATATTAATTATATAATCAATTATATAATTTGTGTCAATAATTAATTAATCATATAATTTATTCTTCTTTGCATGTAAGTTGAAAATATGAAAAACTTATTACAAATTTTATAATAAAGAGATTGGAGAATAAATAAATATGTTTTATACATAAACATGGAATTCTTTTCAATCAGAATTATTTTACATGGGAAAGTAGATTCAAATATTTACAAAATATAACGACGTTTATTATTATGGTTTGCTTACGGATGGGAACAAACCTACTTGTAAAGGAAATATTTCCTCGTATAAAATAACGTGATAGGTATCATTGTCCATAACAGCGGATGAGACATGCAGGGAACAACGTGATAATGTCGCGTGCATAACACGTGAATGAGTCGCATTCGCTCTCGACCCCCATTTCTCCGTTCTCCACCCCCTTCTACGTGTAAATGTAAACGGGTCGTGAGAGACGATGTGTGTCTCTCACCATGCTAAATATAATATTCGCGCGTATTTTCAGCGATGAATGAAAACACCGACAGACATTCGTAGATTTTCCCGCGTATGATTTTCTGAATCAAAAGAGAAAGGGCGTGATAACTCTCTGACATTGAAATTTCAATATGGATTTTCAGTATATCACGAGCGAGTCAAAAATACGCGAAAAAGAAAATGATTTATATTGAAAGGCAACGCAATTCAAAAGCTTGTTTGTTCAGAAAAAGCTTGCAGATGTTATATGGAACACTTTCAATAGAATCGATTTCTTAGTTAATTAAATTAAATTAAATTAAATTAAATAATAAATAATTGATATCCTCCTAATCAATTCTGAGTGATGACTTTATAAAACAAAAATTAAAATAATAAATAAATAAACATAAAATATCGTTTCAAGTCATTGAGTTATTTATAATTGTGAGTTATTTATCAAGTAATTTTACAAAAAAATATTTAATAATTTTATTTTCTTCTTTTTTGATTTTTTTTAAATATTTACATATGTATGTAAATAACATGAATTTATTTTGTATTGCAGGTATTTACAGTATCCAGCTAATCATTTCTGCATAGAAGATTGTCATGGCAGTCGGTGAGTGTTTTATTTTTTCCAATTGCGGCAAAGATTGTAGAGATTGCATACAAATTTTAACGATGAAACGTTCAGTACGCGAGTCACGCGAGTTTACGCATAATCATGTATCTTTCACATCTTTCATTTTTATTCGCAGACAAACAGTAGCTTATCCGCAACATTTATTGGACAAAATCGCAAGCGCATAATTTACAGTCAGATTTAAATTCACAATGTAACATAAGAAATTCGAGTATTCTTTTATTTTTTTTTATCAGATATAATACACAATTTTAATAATAAATGAAAAATAAATTATTTATAGAAATATTTCTATTTAAAATATAATAGTCGAGTAACTTAATTTATACGTACAAAGAAAAATAATTTGCTGACATAACATCAATGAACGATCTTAAGTATCGAGAAATTCCAAAGGAATAATAACAAATAATAATGCAAATAATAAGAATAAAATTTTATATAAATATAAATTATATAAACATTTATCCGATTAAGGCCCTTCCTCGGGTAGTAAGGGCGCGCGAATATTGCAAATCGAGGTGGTATATTTCCGGTGCAGCTACTACGTATTCCTGCCAGCTCACCGGGTGTGGGGGAACAATGCAACGTCCGGTTCGGTGTATCCCCCCACCATGGCCGAATCCAATGGTAATCGTAGTAAGGCTCGTTCATGGTGTTCCATGAATGTAATTCAGCTCCCACAGTCACAGGTAGACCCTCTATTAGTCTTGTCGTGGCTATAACGCGGACTCGAATAATCGCGATAACTGTGACAGATGATAAGAGCAACGTCGCGTTAAACGGCATTTAATCAAGATTAAAAGAACTCTTTCTTCTCTTTGAAATAAAAAAAAAAATACGCGGACAGCATCTAAGATCTAAATAAATCTTTATTTCTTACAATCGCAAAAAATCTGATGATCGAATCTGGCGATTCGACGAGACAAGAGTGACTAATCAGATTAACCAGTTCATTCTCTTCCCTTTTATTATTATTTAAATGTGACAAGAGTGAGATCGAGCAACCTTCTTAATTAATATCAACTGTATGCAACTGTTACGTTAATTATGGAGTTGATAATGAATTAATAGTGAATTATTAGTGAAGGACATATTTTATGAGGATTCGCGCAGTATTCGCTTCGAATTAGTATTCATCGTAGCGAAACCGTATGAAAATTAGGGACGTGCGGCTTAATAATTTTTCGCGAAGAGCCGTACACGCGCAGAGAAGAGAATTGCGAATCAGTAAGTGAAGCTTGTGTGACCTGGATCTGTCCGATCCGCATGTTTACAGATAATCCGTCGTACTTCTCGCTATCGGGCGAGACATCGTCGTCGACGAGGACGACGACATCCCCGACGTCGCCCAGAAGTCACAGTAGCGGCTTGTCCGCCTTTTTTCGCCGGAAAGCCTGCAATAAGATGGGTGCGGCTTCCTCTCAGAGTGGCATCGTCGTCTCGGAATCCACGTCCAGCATGCATCACGAAAATCGCGGCAATGTGTCGGGCATGTCGACACCGACGGAGGAGCGAGTCCCGATGCTGTCGCGAAATGGCGCGGTTCATCCCGGCAAGAGGAGAAGCTTCCGGAATCTCTTTAGATCTGTGAGCGCGAACGCGGATCACGAGAGGACTCAGAAGTTCCTCAAGGGAGATCCGAGACCGTCCGATGTTGCACCGCCATCGCCGTATTTGCCCCATAGGTAAATGTCGCTCCTTGATCAAGACATGGTCCTTTGACGATATTGATGTATAATTGAAAAACTCAATTTTATTTATTTATTTAATTGCGTCATTGCAATTCTTTCGCAAAAAGTACCGAACTGCAAGAGTCAAATCAGACACGGTATAAATAATGAAAATGTATTGTCGATGCAGATCGCATTCGCATTCCGAGAGAGATCGACATCGCCCTGGTCGAGGCAGAAGGGTCTTGAAATCTGCTAGCGAGCTTCTATCCAATGATATGGTTTATTGTGGCCTAACCGGCAATTCTAAGAATAATGGCAACGACGATAACAGCAACGACGATGACGATTCCGCAGAGGTCTTCCTTGGTGTCGACGATGCCAGGTTAATAAAAAAAATTATTACTTTATCTATTCAAAAAAACATCATTCTTTATCAATTGCAAATTATGTATGTATTTTAATTAAACATCAAATTATATTTATTATATATTTTTGATTATCAAAGATAATCTGTGTTTGTGAAATAAATTGTGGAAAATTCTTTCCCAGGTATTACAATCTTCCGTCCACTTTTCCTGCGACTGGTTCAACAACCGCCTGTCGGAGGAGACACTCGATAGGCACTTTTCTCGAAAAGGAAGCAGGCACATCTACTACAACTTCTGGACGACAACAAATAGGAGGCTGCAGGAATTTGTTAGAAGTAGATATGGTATCGGCAGCCCCAATATCGGTCGATGATATTGATAGTGCATCGTGCAATGAAGGCAAACAACCGCATTGCAACAGAGTAAGACGGAAAAAACATAAGAGCTCATTTAATAAAGGTAAGTATCAACATAACGATTTTCTTATTGATTTTAATTAAACGTTTGTAAATAGATTAATTACATCATTAACGGAATACATATTCTAAATGTGTGTGTGTGTGTGTATATGTGTGCTCTCAATTATTCAAATAATATTTCAACGTCACGATTATAAACGATTGCTCACGAGTTATCGAATTAATTATGAAATCAAATTGCAAATCAATTCGAATTTTAATATAGATTTAATTTAAAAGTTTAGAAGTTAGATTAATCTAAACAAATTCAAAATCGCATTCTCACGTCTCATTTTGTTTACAAGATATCTATTTTCATTTCGAATCATAATAATATGCCATATTAAAATTTGGATTTTTTAATCAACAATCTTATATATTCGGATATCGGACATATTTAATTAAAAATTATAAAAAAATATTTCTTTTACCCACATTTAATTTTTGCAATAGCAAAAAGTTATTAAGAAAGTCATTGAGTCGCATAAATTCTTTTATTCGTCGCGGACAATGATTATTATTTCTACGCGAGAAGAGAGTGCACTTGTGCGAGTGAAGAGTTTTCCCATTCCCACGTCTGTCGCATGCCCGCATGAAGCACAAATCACGCCTGCATGTTATAAAAGTAGAAGCATTGCGAGACAATTTTGATCATTTTAATGCATCGATTTGTTAGCCAATTTCTATTTAGAAGATAAGTTCGGGTCATTCTGGCCTTCAGGCGGTATTACAATGATGATTGTATTTTTATTGGGCGATTTCTATATGAAAAGAACTAATTGTTAAAGCACTATTCACTCTATACATAAGAGAAAAGTATAAAATTTTTTATTACATACAAGTTTCTTTCATTAATCAATTGTAATTTTTATTTAAAATTAAGTATATTCGACAAAATTAAAACTAAATCGCTCCTATTAATAAAAAAATAGTATGAAATAGTATGAAAAATAGTATGAAAATTATTCTTTCATTCATTATACTTAAAAGTATGCTTAAAAAAAATAAAATACTTGAAAAATTAAAATTGATTAAAGAAATCAATTACATGTAATAAAAAATGTTAAAGATGATCTCTCTATTGTGTTTTTGGAAAATTGGTTTCTAAAATTTTCATAGAAGATAAAAATTAAAATTAAAAATTCTAAAAGAGAATATTCTCTGTCATAAAAAATGGTATACATCCTTTTCCCTCGTTATAAATGTATTTTTATAAATCTTGACAGTAGGATTAGATTAAAAAATCTATAAACAAGGAAATATATTATCAACAATAACAATAGTGTTATTAATTATTAAATCGTATTTAAGAATTTTTAAAAATAAATATTTTTAAAATACGATTATAATGATTTTATTAATTATTCAACTCGCGCACAATTGTTTATAAAATTCACATTTTTAATTTGAACAATATATCTATAAAAAATATCCGACAATCTTGTGATAACAGATAAAATCAGGGACTAGCAGAGAAACGCGCACGTAGGTCGGATGAGGTCCACTCCGGAAGTTCACAACTTTTAGTATTCGGCGAGCGATTTCGTCGTTTTCCAATTGTGTCGGTTCGCATACACATACATATGGCCATAAAACTTTGAAATTTACGATGTTACGTGAGCAGTTACATGGACAACGAAAGATCCTCTGATATACGTGTATATAAAATCAATTTTTGCTTAATAAAAATGTGTAAACGTTAATAATATTAAAATTTGTAAAAAATCGTGAACGAGTAAATTATTTATAAATCTCTTAAATAAGAATCTTTTTATTATTTATTTAAATTCCTACCAAATTTAATTTCTTCCAAATTTAAAAATAAAATAAGCTTATATTTACATAAAGTTTGTATCTATGAAATACTAAATATTAATATACTACATAAAATCGTAAAGGCGTAAAGCGTAAAATTACTCTATATTAAACGTATTATTATAATATAAATCTTTTTTTTAAGTCGTATAAATATTTAAAAAAATAACGGTATATTAAAACATCGTATAATTTATGGTAACTGCTAAAATAATAAGAATTAACATTTTGATTAATATTATTTGTGTATAAGAAAACATTAATAAATAAAAACAAACAGTGTAAGATATGATAATACCTCATACATGTGTAAAGTATCAAGCGAGTTCTTAATTAAGAAAGTGAAGCAAGTGAGGTTGTAACACACATACTTTTAACAGCGAAAATGTGACCTCGGCCAACATCCGGCCGTTCTTTAATTACAGCCGGAAATGAATTCTAGATATTCATGCAACAGGCAAAAGTAGCAATTCCATTTACATTGCCGGCAATAAAATATACATAAATAGATAAGACAATAGTCTATTTATCTCATGATAAACAATTATGTCGGTTGTCCCAATTAATTGACTGAATAATTGGGTCAAATCAACATATCCTGTCGAGATATAATGTCCACTCATTAAATTGTAAATCAAATATAACTTTTAATCTGTTTTTTGATAATATGAAAAATTAAAATCTTTGCGCAAGAAAAATAATAAAGAATTATTTCCATTGGAATATGCTGAAAAAAATGATTTGAAAATAATCTATTTCCCTAGAAACCCGTTTATTTAGAGAAGATGTAAAAGATAGATAATCGAATGTATTTCTAAAGTTTAGATTCGTTTTTGGACGTCTGTGTTTTCACGCGTCTTCCGTTGCAAGCGTTGCATAGCGTGTCGTTGCTGACACGAAACGGAAATATCCGTCCATATGTTGACACGAGGTCACAGACGGTTATACTGGTGTACATCTTATGGCCTCATCGAAAGAATACGCTTTCCTATATCGTAAATTCTCTATTCCCATCTGGAGAAAAGATCCAATGCCGTGAATTCTCTCTTTTCGTCTGAAGGAAAGCAGAATAATTATATAATTTTCTTTGCAATTAAAAAATTTCAACTATTATCAAATATTTTGCTTGATTTATATATAAAAATATTATAAATTTCTCAATTTTGAAAATTTATTTTTTTTTAACAAAATCTTGTGTCAAGAAATTTTATGTTTCCGATTTGTCTCTTTGTGTATGTATAGAGTTATCATTCCTCAGATAGCACCCATAACAATTCTAATATATATATATACAAGTAAGAGAACCAATTACGTTTTTTCAGTATTTTTAACATCGTTCATACAGATTTACATAAATGTATGAAAATACGTTATATATGTGTTTCAAAGATCAACTTGTAGCGTGATATCCAATAAAATGGATGTGCTGAACGATAAACCGAGCCGCATAAATCTATTGGAAGACAGACGGGTCAGTAACCGCAAGATTAAGCATTCTGCAGGCATATTCGATTCTATCCTCATATTATTTACCGGTTGTACTTCCTGGTGTTACCCCAGCGCAGATCTAACGCTTCCGGCGTTGACAGTTAAGTTCCAGAAGGCGTCGCGTCGTTCCGATCTCTCCGACGTGATAAAAATATAGCTTCAAAAATAATTAAATTAAAGAGACTTATACTTAATCAATTAATCAGACAATTACAATGTATAATAATTAAATATAATCCTTCATCTTTTACATAGCGCATATTTTGATGATAAATAATAACGCGAGTTTAAGAAAAATTTTTCGTGTTTATTTTCATCCTTATTTTTATCTTGATTTTTCACGTACGTGTATGAATAATAAAATTGACAGATAACACATCTTCATGGAATTAATCATCATTAATTATCCTACTCTCAAGCATCAAGTTCTAAAATTGTGTTAATTAAACCGCTCGGATCGCAACGATGTAATTAGTGCAATTAATGTTCGAGTCTGCATATTGAGTTGTGTTCCACTTGTTATATCTGCGCATCTATTTTGTTCGATGTTATTAAAGATTACCATGACGGCGGTACGTATGTCGTCGTTCGAAGATTGACGAAAACATCCGGACGAAAAGAAAGAGTATCTTCCTGCTTCGATATTTATCCTTACTATAAATGTTTACGTTCTCCGAGATTTTATCCAGAAACCCGAAAAGCGAAACATCTGTAAACTATGAATTGTTTATATTTTTCAATTCTAATATATAAAAAGAACTATTTTAAGAATTTTCATATATTAATCATAACATGTTCAAAGAACAGAATCAACAAAATAAGAGCTAATCTTTTTATGAAAAAAAAAGTTTTATCGAAAAAACTTATCCAAAAATATATACTTAATGATATTTATCTAACAATCAGAGCTCATAATTATGCTTTCTAGAATTCTTGAAAAATTATAAATAATATTAATAAAAAAATGTTGTCACTAATAAATATTAATATAAATCTTAATACTAAAGAATATATTAAAAGATATTAATATTGCATCGATAAAATATGTAATGTTTCATAAATATGTAAACATACTTTCATTCTAATTATTTTAATTTTTTCTTATTAAGACACCAATCTATGTAATTAAACCGATACAATCGTGCGTACAAAGACAAAAAAGATTAAAAACCGATTAAATCTATAATAAAATATTCCGGAATCGAACTAGCGATGTCGGCAATTTCTCTGCTGAAAATACGTTGGATTTGCTTGATTTCGAATGTCAATTTAAATTTGTGCTCGAAAAGGGATTCGAGAGGCGTGATCGGAGTTGAAACGATCATCAAGTATATAAACGAGCTTTGATTGGTCAATACGCGATGTCCGGCAACTACGATTTGTTAGTGAACCAAAAGTTACATCCGCTGTTACTTTTCGATTATTCTCGTTCGTTTTATCGAGTCTTCTAATTGTCCGCGAGTCGATTAAGTCATATTTATTATCAAACTACGTATCTCAGTAAACGTTTAAAAATTATGTATTCTGCATATTATTGGAGACATGTTATAACATGTTATGTAATAAGATAAAAATACAATTTTAAAGAAATAAATATAACGTAATTAATTTTTTGTTTTTGGGGGGAAAATTTTATTTTAAAAATAACGTATGTTTTTATGATATAAAGGATCTATACGGAAGATTTTTGTATAAAAT